GGCAAGGAAGGGGTCCCATTTCTCGGGTTCTGGGCCGTTTCTCATGGTTCTTCCTTCTTTCGTGTACCACTCACCATCCCTAGGTTAATTTGAAATGGGTTGCTTTTTCCATCGTGAATTCGTCCTTTAAGCAACAACGAGTCATATACATACCGGATTCCAAGCAGCAGTTATCTTGCGAACACCGCAGGATTTTAACACTCGCTGGGAAGAGGTCTAATAAAAAAAGACTGGGAGTAGGGAATGTAGGGAAGAGAATTTTGGGATATTTCATAGCAGGCTTGCATACCATGCAAAGATTACTGCAAAAATGTTTCCTCAATAAAGACAAAATTTAGGATCAGTAGTTCATTAAATAAGAAGCAGGACATTCACCAAGTGGGACTGACCATAAGCAGGGTCAATCCCATCGTTGGTACATTTTCATTTTTTGTGACCTCCTCACGACCATCAGCCTTCCCCCTAATACGACCCCCCTACCACACCCGACCATCACCTTCCCCACCATAGCTACTCCCAGGATATTTGATCTGAGATCACCCGGAATTCGGCACAACCCACCTCCGCCCGCTTTTTTTTCTGCAAAACAGCCGTCAAGGCAGAGGGGAGGGGCGTAAAATATGTCCCAAAAACGGTAAGTCCTCTAATTTTTTCCTTCATGCGTCTTGCATAAAATTTAGTACTCGCCAAAAACGACTCCACAACGACTCCACAAAAACATAAACACAACCCCACCCCACACCCGTACCTTGTTAGGCCTTTTGACCTTCTCCAACCTCAAATGGGACTCCCATTCGTACCTCTACCTCATGAGACAAGACTCATTATGTGATTCAGCACTGAATATGCATAAGAAATTTTGCTCAGTATTCAAAAAAAAACCCGTGTTTTTTGACTTATGGTTTTGGTATGGCTCACTTATTGACTTCGTCACTCTTTCGTGATGACTTCTTTTCTTTTCTTCGAGTAAATTACGACCCTTCTCAAAGTTTCTTCAAGCATAGCACAAAATAGCATTTTCATGGCCGTTTAGCTATGCCTGAAGCCTTATCTTTCCTGATATCAATAAAAGGGGAACAGGCTCTTACTTATTTCTTCGTTTGAGGTTGCTTCCCCGTCAGTCCCATATGCGGTGCCAACTT